CATGGTGTTGATAAAATGAAGAATAAAGAAATATTTGATTTTACTCCTACAATTAGATCTTGGTCGGAGAAAAAAGTGGTACCGGAGGAGGCGAGAACCGGTGATTCCACCGCCGATGTTTCCCCTTTTTGAGAGAATTAGGGTTTTGACAAACCCAGAAAAAATTCTCATGGACACGATGTCGTGGATATGGATCGATGGTCAATGACACAATAGAATGCCTCTTTGTCCACGGAAATCTGACCACGATACAATGCCTCTTTGTCCATCTTTCATACCAATCGTAGCACATTTGAAACAAAGTAATAATTTGTGAACGGATTTGTACAATTGAAAGGATTATGTTCTTACAACTACAATTTACAAAGATTTTGATACATTGAGCTCTTCAATTATTCTCCATCTTCATCCATATGGGAGCATCCATGTGTGACCATCCACTGACATCCATCCATACGTGATGTGCTAATAAAATCACAATCGATAATCCATACATAACCATCCATAATATATCATCCATAAGAAGTTTGATGTTCAGCAATTCCAAAAACGAGAGCAAGGAGAAACGTTGTGTCAAAAATCAGCAAAAACAATCCAAGCTATGTGTAACATAAAATGGTTATAACATATTTTTTATGTTTCATGGGTACCTTTGTTCAAATCCAAGATGTCAACCAAATTTATAAAATTGCAAGGAGAACTATAACAAAATTTTTACGATTAAAATATCATAAAACATACATTCTCACCCAAATAAAAACTTGTTATACGATCATGAACATTATGATGTGAATTTTGCAGCTTGGATCTATTGTCATGGATACGATCCATCCATTCTGTCCACCAATCCGTATCCACAAGAAAATTGGATACGATCCATCCCATTATGTCCATCGATCCTCATCCACGACATTGTGCCCATAAGACAAAACGTTTTTTCTAGGTTTGTCGAAATCATATTTCTCTCAAAAAGAGGAAACATCCGCAGTGTAATCACCGGTACTCGTCTCCTCCGGTGCTGTGTAATGCTCCAATGAGCCTCTGGTATCGTCTCTCTGATTTAATTTAATTTTGTTATCCTACTTCTGAAATTTGCCTCTCTTTGGCATTTCAGCGAGCACCTTGTGTGCAGTCAACTGTTCTGCAAAATAATATCACAAATAAAAGCATACAAAAACCCAGAAACATTAAACGAGGAAAATAAATTTATTAGATGATTGAAAATCATGATAGGTTATCAACTCCACGAAAGATTGATCCAAATTTTTTGTATCTTAGGAGAAGAAGGTCGAAAGAAATGTTGACTTGGAATTAAAGAACAAAAAAGCAAAGAATTAAGTTGGTTGTTCTTATTGAATTCTGGCGATTTGG